CTCCTCCCCTCCTCAGCCCAGGCTGGAGTGCAGTGGTATTGTCAGAGCTGTTACCTCAAACTCCTGGGCTCAAGAGATCCCTCTGCATCTGCCTCCCTAGTAGCTAGGATTACAGGTGTGCATCACCACATCTGGCTGATTTTTTTTCTTGATCTCTGTAGAGATGGGGGGTGTTTTGCTATGTAGAGCAGGCTTGTTTTGAACCCTTGGGCTCTAGTGATCTCCCTACCTTGGTCTCCCAAAACTCTGGGTTTAGAGGTGTGAGCCACATTGCCTGGCCAAGTTCATGTGTTTCTGAAACTCAGCTCATTATAAATATTGTAAGATCTCTTTATTTCTGTCCAAATGAGTAAATCACCTTGGATGGACCAGCAGTGAGGATGTCCGTGATTTGGTCATGTTGGAATCTGAAACCCTTATGGGCAAAAGGGCAGTACTTGATTTGGCAGAGTGGAAGTAACTCTCAGTTTAGCAGAGCAGAACTTTCAATTTAGCTATCCAGATGTGAGTCAGGTACATAGTAGTAAGTATTGGATCATACAAAAAAGAGGAATGTTATTCTGTAGTTTTCAGTCCCTCTGTCTCTTTTGTAGTGCATGGTAACCAACTAGTTACGTAACCAAGTGTCCTTTTTTCTTCATTAGGATTAATCAAGGGATAGTAGGCTTTCTTGGATAGTCTCCCTCCTTTTGTAGAAATGTGAATATAGGATTCACTGTGGCTTCTCTGAGACCAGAGTTCAAGCTGAAGTAGAAGAGAAAAAAATAATCTAGTGGTCCAAGGAAACAGTTCTGGTTCTGAAATAAAGTAAGTACATGAAGACATTAGAGAGGTCTGGAATTAATAGACACAGTGAACTATACTTGTAATACCTGAGCAAGAGCCGGAAACTGGATAGAGGTCTGGGTCAGGAACATAAGAGCATTGCTACAGAAATAACAGGAAGATGGGTAATGACCTTTCTCTCTATCCTTGGGGTTGTTGTCTCATTGTTTGGAGAGCATTCACCAGTTGCCATGTTTAGAGGCTAAAACAGGTAAATCAGGAGCCCATTTTGTTCAGTAAAGCTCAGAGTAAAATGTAGAATTCAAATGCACCTCTAAATAAGTGTTTATGGCTGGGCGCAGTGGCTCAAACGCCTGTAATCCCAGCACTTTGGGAGGCCGAGGCGAGGGGGATTGCCTGAGCTCAGGAATTCAGGACCAGCCTGGGCAACACAGTGAAACCCTGTCTCTACTAAAAAATAAAAATAAAAAAATTAAGGTGGGTGTGGTAGCGTACACCTGTAGTCCCAGCTACTTAGGAAGCTGAGGCAAGAGAAATGCTTGAACCCGGGAGGCAGAGGTTGCAGTGAGCTGAGATTGAACCACTGCACTCCAGCCTGGGCAGCAGAGTGAGACTCCGTCTCTTAAAAAAAAGAAGGTATTTAATTACTTATTGTACAGTAAGATACACTGTCAGGACTATCTTAATTTTTAGCCTGAACAAAAGACTCGAAATCAGACACTGAACCCTTGAATTAACCATGTGACCTTCAGTAAGATACTTAACCTTTCAGAACGTTGATATCTTAAGATTGAGACCATGTTTATTTGAAGAGACTTGTAGTTTGTCAGTTTGGTAAATAGACGAGATTTAACTTTGCTTTAGGTCTCATTAATGTCTTCTTTTGACATAAAATGAAGTACTTATATTTTGTAAAGATTGTGAAGATTTTAATTACAGTAATTAATATTAAAACCTGAAAGAACAATGAAGTGTGAGCTCAGAAAATTTTTTAAAATGAGTTATGGCACTTCAATAGGAGGCTAAGTAGATAATTTTTAGGAAAGTATACTAGAACTCTTTGCCCAGGGGAACAATGAAATGAATTGTATTGACATCTATTAAATTAACTAATGTCTTTCTCTTTTGAAATGCACATTAAGTAAAACAAACATGATGAATTGATTTCTACTTTGAGCAGTCCTTTTTTTAGGTAGATTCATCCTAAATTACGGATTTACTACTTTTTCTTATGTGATAAAGGATAATGGTTGATATTTGTAGCCTCTGCTTGTATGATGGAATTGTCAAATGGAATCTTCCTTTGCAATATAATATACTTTGGTGATTAAAAGGCCTGGGTTCAGGTTTTTTGTTTTATATTTTTGAGACAGAGTCTTGATCTGTCACCCATGCTGGAGTGCAGCGGCACAGTCTAGGCTCCCTGCAGCCTCCGTCTCCTGGGTTCAAGCGATTCTCCTGCCTCAGCTTCTCAAGTAGCTGGGATTACAGACACCCACCACCACACCCAGCTGATTATTTTTGTATTTGTAGTAGAGACGGGGTTTCACCATGTTGGTGAGGCTGATCTCAAACTCCTGACATCAAGTGATCCACCTACCTGGGCCTCCCAAAATGCTGGGATTATAGGCGTCAGCCACCGTGCCCGGCCAAGGTTTTTGTTTTTATTTTTTTAAATGAAACAGACTCACGATATTGCCCAGGCTAGTCTCAAAATCCTGGGCTCAAGCAGTCCTCCCCTCTTCCCCATCAGCCCTAAGCCTCCCTAGTGGCTGGGACTACAGGTGTATGCCACCACACCCAGCTACTTTTTGTGTTTTTTGTAAAGATGGGTTTTGCCATGTTGCCCAGGATTCAAACCCTGGACTCAAGCAGTCTTCCCACCTCGAGCCCCTGAAGTACTGAGATTACAGGTGTGAGCCACCATGCCCTGTTGGGTCGTGCTATATTGCCCAGGCTTATATCAAACTCCTGGCCTCAAGCAATCTTCCCACCTCTGCTTCAAGACCTTTTGATGCCATTTTACTGTTGTGTAATCTTTAATTTTCTATTCAGTATGCTCATCTATAAAACAGTGAAAATTACCACATAAAGATTGTCTTGGCAGGGCTCGGTGGCTCACGCCTGTAATCCCATCACTTTGGGAGGCTAAGGTGGGTGGATCATGAGTTCAGAAAATCAAAACCATTATGGCCAACATGGTGAAACCTCGTCTCTACTAAAAAATACAAAAAATTAGCCAGGTGTGGTGGCACATGCCTGTAGTCCCAGCCACTCGGGAGGCTGAGGCAGGGGAATTGCTTGAACCTGGGTGGCAGAGGTTGCAGTTAGCCAAGATTGCACCACTGCACTCCAGCTGGGCGACAGAGCAAGACTCCATCTCAGAACAAACAAACAAACAAAAAGATTGTCTAGAAGTACATTAGGGTCTTTCAGTTGCAAATGACAGAAATCCAGTTCAGACTAGCTTAAACAATAAAAGAGAAGGCTGACCTCTGACGCGGTTTAGCTCAAACAGTGTTATCTTAGGCTTTCTCTTAAACTACTGCTTTTCTTTTGTTGGCTTTACTTTCAGATAGACTGTCACCAGATGGCATCTCTAGGTTTATTTATTTAATTTACTTTTTGGAGACAGAGTCTTCAGGCTGGAGTACAATGGCATAATCACAGCCCACTGCAGCCTCTGCCTTCTGAGCTCAAGTGATCCTCCCACCTCAGCCTCCCAGGTAGCTGGGATTACTGGCGCATGCCACCACACCCAGCTATTTTTTGTATTTTTGGTAGAGATGGGTTTTCACCATGTTGCCCAGGCTGGTCTCAAGCTCCTGACCTCAAGTGATCTGTTTGCCTTGGCCTCCCAAAGTGCTGGGATCAAGCCACCATGCTCGGTCTCTAGGTTTATTCTTTGTAATTAGCAATCTTAGAGAAAATTGCTGACAGGCGCGTGCGCACCTACACATACACACACCCCCCCTTCATATAGGTCAACCACACACACACACACACACACACACACACGCACCATTTCATATAGGTCAACCCCAGGGTTACATTCAAATCTCTAGTCTTGTTGAGTAATAGGAATTCTTTGTATATTCTGGATATTAAACTCTTTTCACATATATTATTTGCAGATTTTTTTTTCACTCTGAGTTGTCATTTTATTCTCTTGATAGTGTAAGTTTCAGCTTTTAAATGTAGGTCTTTGATTCATTTTGAATTAATTTTTGTACATTATTTAAGGTAGGTTTCCAACTTCATTCTTTTTTTTTTTTTTTTTTTTTTTTTGAGACAAAGTCTGGCTCTTTTTGCCCAGGCTGGAGTGCAAGTGGCATGATCTCAGCTTATTGCAACCTCCACCTCTTGGGTTCAAGCGTTTCTCCTGCTCAGCCTCCCAAGTAGCTGGGATTACAGGTGTGTGCCACCACACCTGGCTAATTTTATATTTTCAGTAGAGACAGTGTTTTTTCAAATCAACAGGAATTTGGGGAAAAAAAATAAAAGAACAAAAGAGACAGGGTTTCATCTTGTTGGCCAGGCTGGTCTCAAGTTCCTGACTTCAACTGATCTGCCTGCCTAAACCTCCTAAAGTGCTGGGATTACAGGCGTGAGCTACTGTGCCCGGCCCCAGCTTCATTCTTTTACATGTTGATATCTAGTTTTCTCAGAATCGTTTGTTGAAAAGACTGTTATTTTCTTATTGAATGGTTTTGGCACTCTTGTTTTTGAAGATTAGTTGACCAAATATGTGAGGATTTATTTCTGGACTCTATACCATTGATCATGTCTATCCTTATATTAGTTTCATACTGTTTTTTGTTTTGTTTTGTTTTTTGAGACGGGGTCTTACTCTGTCGCCCAAGCTGGAGTGCAGTAGCGCGATCTTGGCTCACTGCAACCTCCATCTCCTGGGTTCAAGCAGTTCTCCTGCCTCAGCCTCCTGAGTAGCTGGGATTACAGGTACATGCCATCACACCCAGCTAATTTTTTTGTGTTTTTAGTAGAGACGGGGTTTCACCATGTTGGCCAGGATGGTCTCGAATGTCTGATCTCGTGATCCACCTGCCTCGGCCTCCTAAAGTGCTGGGATTACAAGTGTGAACCACTATGCTTGGCACACACTGTTTTAATTATTGTAGCTTTGTAGTAAGTTTTAAAATCAGGAAGTCCTGATTTTTTCCAATTCTGTTCTTCTTTTTCAAGATGATGTTGGTTGTCCTTGTCTTGGGTAGAGTGACGTCTGGTTGGTGCTGCCCATCTCATAAAAACAAGAAAAAAAATCAATGCCTTATTTATTCCAGCTTGGCTTTTGGTCATGCCTATTCCTGGTTTATGCCTTGGACACATGGGAAAAAAGATTGTGTTGGCTATTTGGGACCCCTTAAGATTCCATGTGTATTTTAGAGTGATTTTTTTCTATTTCTGCAAAAACTGTCACTGAGACTTTGATATGGATTACGTTGAATCTGAAGATCACTTTATATGACACAAGGACATCATTTTTTTTTTTTTTTAAGATCACTTTGGAGAGTATTGTCATCTTAGCAATATTAAGTCTTCAATCCATGAACCTGGCAGGCAAGTCTTTCCATTTATTTAGGGCTTTAATTTCTTCCAGCAGTGTTTTGTAGGTTTCAGTTATGAGTCTTGCCGTCCATGGTTAAATTCATTTCTTAGTACAGCTAGTGCTCAACTTACGACCAAATTGGTTCCAACAGACTGGTCATAACACGATTTGGTCGTAAGTTGAGTAGGCTATATGTATAGTACTGTGAAATGATATTATAAAAATCTTTAAGTCATATTTTATCATAATTTTCTTTCATTATTGTTATATATCATAATTTTCTTTGTTCATTTTATGCCATTTGTATCATCTCTACGCCATTTTGTTTCTTAATTTTACATTCGTCAGGTTTAAGTAAACCACTGCATTACTAGTACAACTGGCTTAATATTTGCAAAACATACAAAATTACAAAATACAGGTGCATACAAAAATACAAAATACAGGTGTAAAAAATACCATAGGAAACATTTTCCCAATTGCAAAACATATCAAAATATATAAACATGTATGAAACATTTTATTGGCCATTTTTGAATTTGATCTTCCATCCAAATATATAGCAATTTCTCCATTTCGTGAATGGGCCCGCTTCATTGCTTTGTTATAACTATTGATCACAGGGGTGCAGAACCTTTCACAGCTTCACGAATTCTTTCTTTATCTTTCAAAATCGTCTACACAGTCGAGTGTGATAACTTCGTATCACGTGCAATCACATTCACTTTCTTTCCTCCTTCGTACTGCTTAATTACCTTCATTTTCGTGTCGAGATCGATGGCCTTTCTTTCCTTCTTGGCAGGCTGAGGCGTAGACAAAGACAGTTTCCTCTTGGTAGACATCTTGGGAGGGGTGTGACGAAAAATATCCAAGACACAAAACACAAATTGCTATACTGAGTCTGGGATAACAGTTGAAATGGTGCACGCGGAGATGGTAGTGCTGCTAGAAGCTGGTCCGCACTGTCATACGCCCAGCCGGGCAACGTTTGTGCTGCCAGACGCAGAGCAGTCGTGGCTAGCGATTGTGGTTGTAAAGTCAAATGGTCGTAAGTTGCATAGGTCGTAAGTCGATCAATACCTGTATTTTATTCTTTTTTGATATTTTTATAAATGCAATTGTTAGCTATGCACAGTGGTTTATGCCTGTAATCTCAGCACTTTGGGAGGCTGAGATGGTAGGATTGCTTGAGCATAAGAGTTCAAGACCAGCCTAGGCAACATAGTAAGACTTTATCTCGACGAAAAATGAACATGAGCTTGGTGGCTCACACCTGTATCCCAGCTACTTAGGAGGCTGAGGTGGGAAGATTACTCGCTGCAGTGAGCCGAGATTGCACCACTGCACTGCAGCCTGGGTGACAGAGTGAGACCCTGTCTCCAAAAAAAAAAAGAGAGAAATTATTTCCTAAATTTTCTTTTTGGATTGTTTATTACTAGTTTATAGAATAAGTTGTATAACTTATTATTTTTGTATGTTGATTTTGTATCTCTCAACTTTGCAGAATTTGTTATTTTGTGAATTGTAGTACTTTTTTTGATCCCCACATGATGGCAGAGGATCAAATGAGATGCATGTGAGAACTGTTGTCAAGCAGAAGTTCTATGTATGTCAGAGTCATGATTTCTGATACATGATGCAACATGTAAAACCAGGTGACTGGTAGGTTTGCGATCAGGGATCCCAAATTCAATACTTTCTTAGGCCATAGGGCTTTGTTTTTTGTTTTAGTTAGTTACTTTTGAATAGGTAATAAATACACAGTGAAAAACATTCAAAAGCCATAAAAAAGTATATAGTAAAAAGTAAATCTCTGAATTCTGTCCCTTAGTCACCAAGTTTTCCCTCCCAACAGCAACTCTAGCATAGTTTCTTATGCATCTTCCCAGAGATATTCATGTTATACACAAGAAAACATGTATATCTATACATATATATATGTCTGCACAGACACACAGACATACATATACGATATTTTACATGAACTGCCATCCTTAAAGGCATTTGAGTTTGCCCCTCAGCTTATGCTATAGTTGTGTAACCTAGCATGAAGACCTGTCATAATTATTTTATGTATTATGTATTAATATTTGCTTTAATCATTGTCTTTTCAGTTTTGATGAAGCAAGAGCACAGAGAAGAGATTGATCTGTCTTCAGTTCCATCTTTGCCTGTGCCTCATCCTGCTCAGACCCAGAGGCCTTCTTCTGATTCAGAGCACCCACACGAAAGTGTACTGTCAACACAGAGAAGTTTGGTTTGTTCCATCCCACAAACATATGCATCCATGGTGACCTCATCCCATCTGCCACAGTTGCAGTATAGAGATGAGAGTGCTAGTAAAGAACAGCATATGATTCCTTCTCCAGTTGTGCACCAGCCTTTTGAAGTCACACCAACACCTCCTGTGGGATCTTCCTATCAGTCTATGCAAACTAACATTGTGTACAATGGACCAACTTGTCTTCCTATTAATGCTGCCTCTAGTCAAGAATTTGATTCAGTTTTGTTTCAGCAGGATGCAGCTCTTCCTAGTTTAGTGAATCTTGGCTGTCAACCACTGTCATCCATACCATTTCATTCTTCAAATTCAGGCTCAACAGGACATCTCTTAGCACATACACCTCATTCTGTGCATACCCTGCCTCATCTGCAATCAATGGGATATCATTGTTCAAATACAGGACAAAGATCTCTTTCTTCTCCAGTGGCTGACCAGATCACAGGTCAACCTTCTTCTCAGTTGCAACCTGTTACATATGGTCCTTCACATTCAGGGTCTGCTGCAACAGCTTCCCCAGCAGCTTCTCATCCCTTGGCTAGTTCACCACTTTCTGGGCCACCATCTCCTCAGCTTCAGCCCATGTCTTACCAGTCTCCTAGCTCAGGAACTGCTTCATCACCGTCTCCAGCCACCAGAATGCATTCTGGACAGCGCTCAACTCAAGCACAAAATACAGGCCAGAGGGGTCTTTCTGCACCTTCATCTTTAATATGTCACAGTTTGTGTGATCCAACTTCATTTCCACCTGACGGGGCAACTGTGAGCATTAAACCTGAACCAGAAGATCAGGAGCCTAACTTTGCAACAATTGGTCTGCAGGACATCACTTTAGATGATGGTAAGTTCATCTGTGGTATATTCTTGAAGTAGTGAAGATTCAGGAACTTTATTCTCCCAAGTGTCATAAAAAAGTTATTATGGATTGCTTATTGGCATATGTTTGGGCCTTTAAATAAGTTGTTATTAGAAATATATGTTAATATATGACTTTGAGGATAGCTATGAAAATCCATGCCTTAGCATCCATTTTACCACTAATATCTGTTGCTGAATAGGGCATCTTTTCTTCCAGGATATGTAGTGAGATCACAGTGTCTAGACAATGGAATTCAAGACCATTAATTCCATAAACACTGCTGAATGCTGTCCTTTTGCAAGATGGAGCTAGATGCTGGGAATATGAAGGATGTATTAAGACAGAGTTCTTGGCCGGGCATGGTGGCCAATGCCTCAAATCCCAGCACTTTGGGAGGCCAAGGCAGGTGGATCACTTGAGGTCAGGAGTTTGAGATCAGCCTGGCCAACATGGCGAAACCCCATGTCCACTAAAAGTTAAAAAAAAAAATTTGCCAGGCGTGGTGGCACATGCCTGTAATCCCAGCTACTCAGAAGGCTGAGGCAGGAGAATTGCTTGAACCTGGGAGGCGGAGGTTGCAGTGAGCTGGGATTGTGCCACTGCACTACAGCCTGGGTGACAGAGCGAGACTCCATCTCAAAAAAAAAAAAAAAAAAAAAAACAAAAAAAAAAAAAAAAAAAATAGAGTTCTTGTCCTTGAGGAGATTTACACAAGTTAAGAACCTGTACCCTGACAGCTTGCTGAGTCAGTCAGTGGTATTGGTACAAGATGCGACTAGTTTACTACTGCTACTGCTGTAGTTGTTGGCACACGATAAAAAGAAGCTATATATATAAACATAGCAAGTTGGTATGGAAATTTCTGCTTTTGTGAAATCAGTAAATTCTAGAGAATCATGAATATTTAGTCAATAATTAAAAATTGTCCAAGATAGGATTTTAAGGTAACAGTTTTAGAATTTATTCTTGGCTTTATCATGTATGTGATAGTGAAATTCAGTCTAAATAGGAATTCAGTGAAAACTACCTAGAGCTGTTGTCCAGTATAAAAATTGTAGGGCCAGGCACGGTGGCGCACACCCGTAATCCCAACACTTTGGGAGGCCAGGGCAGTTGGATCAACTGAGATCAGGAATTCAATACCAGCCTGGCCAACATGGTGAAACTCCATCTCTACTAAAGATAAAAAAATTAGCTGGTTGTGGTGGTGGGCGCCTGTAATTCCAGTTACTAGGGAGGCAGAGGCAGGAAAATCACATGAATCCAGGAGGTGGAGGTTGCAGTGAGCCAGGATCACGCCTTTGGACTCCAGTTTGTATGACAAGAGCAAAACTCCGTCTCTCAAAAAAAAAAAAAAATTGTAAAGATTCTGAAACATGGATATAGAATTTTAGCTTTCTCTCTGATTCTGTATTAATTCACTCTAAGAAAATAATTGTAGCCGGGTGCTGTGGCTCACGCCTGTAATCCCAGCACTTTGGGAGGCTGAGGCGGGTGGATCACAAGGTCAAGAGATCGACACCATCCTGGTCAACATGGTGAAACCCCGTCTCTACTAAAACTACAAAAAATTAGCTGGGCATGGTGGCGCGTGCCTGTAATCCCAGCTACTCAGGAGGCTGAGGCAGGAGAATTGCCTGAA